TCAATACTTTATTTATAAAATAAATATAATATATTATTCTTATTAAATAAAAATAATTATTTTTTAAATACATTTAATGAATCTTAAATGATTATGTTTTATTTATTCTTGCTAACCTCTTAAATTTAAATTTTATTATTGCAATGTAAAAATTTTATATTATATATCTTCGATATGTTTTTCTCTTGTAAGAATTTAGTTTTTTAACATTAATATTTTTTAATCGATTTAATTAAATTCTGTTCTTTTTATTCTATTTACTTTTATATCATCTTTAAATATTTAAAAAATTATATTTAGATTTTAAAAATTTGTTAAATATTTTAATACTTTCTTATATTTAATTATAGTCATTTAATAAATAAATATTTCTACAATTTTCAAATTTTGATTAATTTTCATTAATAATATTTTCTTATTTGTTTTGGTTGTTATTGTTATCAATTTCTTAATTTTAAGAATTTAATTAAGAAATTATTTTGCAATTTAAATTTATCTTATTATATTATATAAAATATAACTTTTCCATAATTTTTTTTTTTTTGTATTTTTTTTTTTTAAAAACTCAATCAACAAAAAAAATAACGAAAAAAAAGGAATAATGATTTTGTTGTTATTTATTGATTTTTTTTAAAAAAAACAAAGAAAAAATAAAAATTAATAAGCAAGTAATATAACTCATTAAATCAATTTATATATTATATTACATCATAATGCAAAATTGGTGCATTATATTGAAATTAATGAAATTTCATAATTAAATTATTTATTGCTAAAAACTATTATAAAAATATTATTATTAATCAAATAAAAATAATAATAAATTATAAAATTTTTAATTCTTAATTAAAATATTCATAAAAAAATAAAATTTAATTTTAATAAAAAATTAGCTTATTTTTAAAAATAATTAATAAAAATTATATTATTTTATTATTCTATAAAATTATCTAAATGTAAAAAATTGATATTGATTTTTTAAATTTAAAACTTATATTTTAGAATTCCAAATAAAGTAAATATTTTTTAATTATAAAACAAATTTGTTATCTATTAATATTATCTTTTTATTTTATATGTATAATTTATTAAAAAATCTATAAAAAAAAAGTCAGTTATCCATTTTTCTGAAACATTTTGATCGATTTTTAAATAGATATGCAGAAAAAATAAATATGATAAAATAATACTTAATTTAATTAAATATATCAATAATTCTTATATTAATTCATTAAAATTAATAAAAATATAATAAATTAAATTTAATTTGATTATATAATTTATAATTGTTATAAAAATATAATAAAATAAAAAATGAAAATAAATGAAATTTTAAATGTTCTAACAACAGTTTTAGTTCTATGTTCTGATGATCCATAAACAGGCTACTTTAGAGACGGTTACTGTAAAACTAACGAATAAGACTAAGGTAAACATTTATTATGTGCTATTATGAGTTAGGAATTTTTAGATTTTACTAAAAGTCGAGGAAATGATTTAATAACACCGTAAATATAATATGATTTTCCAGGGCTTAAATAAGGAGATAAATGGTGTATTTGTGTCGAAAGATGTAATAAATATATTAATTATTTTTAATTTTTTAAAAAAGGGAAAGAAGCTTTATATGCTGGTAAAGCTCCTTAATTAAACTTAAATGCTTCAAATATAAAAGCTCTTAATTATGTTAATAAAAATGATATAATTAAATATGATTTTAAAAAAAATTGATAAAAAATAAAAAATTCGTACTGACTTTTAATTTAGATATAATATAATTATGTTTTATATATAAAAGTAGAAAAAAATAAAATAATTTTTAATTATAATAATAAAGAAATTTCTATAAAAAAAAATATAATTAAAAAATAATAATATAATTATATTTATAAAAAAAAAAAATAAAAATATTATTTATAATAAATAAAAATATTTATAATAAAAAAAAATTAAATATATTTATTTAAATTTTTTATTTATTTTATTTATTTATTATATTTATATTATTTTTAGGAAATATTAAAAAAATAATTTAAATATTATATATAAAATAAAATTATAAAGAATATATTTTTATATTTTATAATTAATTTTTTTTTTTTTTTTTTTTTATTTTAATATTTTAAATTTAAATAATATTAATTATTTTTTTTTTTTAAAAATATTTTTTAAAAAATAATTTTTAATATTAACTTATTTATCTATTTATTATATTTATAATCAAGATTTTTTTTTAAAAAAAACAATTATTTTATTTTTTTACATAACTTTTTATTTCTTAATTACATAATTTAATTTCTTTATTTATATACTATTTTTTTATAAATTATTTTTATTAATAAATATTTTATTTATTAATTTTTATATATTAAAACAAATATTTATTAAATTTATTATATAATCTCTTAAATAAATGTTATTAAAGTATTCTAAAATATTATGTTATTTTTATATATCAATTTAAATTATTTCATTTATTGTTTTATTATTAAGTATTTTAAATTATTAGTTTTAATTTTTAATATGTATGATTTTATTCTCATTTTTTATTTATCTTTAAACAATAAATAGTTTTTAAATCTTCTTTATTTAAAATAATTAATTTAATATGTCTAAAGAAGGTTAAAATATATATTTTTAGGAATAGATAAAATAAATTATTCAAATATTAAAATAATTTTTTAAATTTCTCTTTTATTTGACAAATCCAATATTTATAATCATCTATCTAGGACCAAAACCAAATATTAATACTTTGTAATTTTTATTCGAAAAAAAAGAATCAAAATCAAGATCGAATAATCTAAATATAAATTAGTTAATTAATTTAATTTTTTCCCTTTTTAAATTAAATATATGTAGTGTTATTTTCTTATTAAATAAGTGTTTTTTATAATACTTATTGTTTCTAAAATTCAAAAAACTATTATATTTTCAATATATTATAAAATTTAAAAAAAATTCAAAAAATAATATTAATAATGTATAGAATATTATTTTTCATTTTTAGGAAATGATTAATATAGTAAATATAATTAAATTAAATTATTTTTTAATAAATTTCTTAAAAACTTCTATTGTTCTTTATGCTATTTTTAAAAAAGCATACTAATCATAATCTTTGAAATAAACATTTAATCTTTTTAATAAGCAATCGGACTTAAAAAAATATAAATAATTAAATTATTGAAGCATTAATATAAAAAATTTAAATAAGCCACGAAAGTTATATAGAAAATGAAATAAGTTTAATTAAAAAGCAATTTTTATGAAGAAAGCAATACTAAAAATATATTAAAATGATTAAAAATAAACTATATAAATAATAATGAAAAGAAAATTGTAAAATTTTTATATTGGATTTAAATTAAATAAATTAATTAATTAAATTACTTCATAATAAATAATAAACATAATTAAGATATTAGCATTTTCAAAATACATAAATTAAAAAATTATTGATTAATATTACTAAATTTGAAAGAATAAATTACACAATTAATTCAAATATTCAAAATAGTTAAGTAGTATATGTTTTTTAGGGAATGTAAAACATATTAACTAAATACTTCGAAATAATAAAATAAATAATTAAAAATGATCGATAGAATTTTTTTTACATGAATGTCTGTAGGTCAAATATATAAAAAAAATCATATTAGATTATAATTGTATTAAAAAAAAACTTAAATAAAAAATTATGATTTATTAAATTAAAATAAAAATTAGATATTCAAGCAATATAAATAAAAAAATTGAATAATAAATAAATTCATTAAAAGAATACACAATAGATAATAATTCCAACAAAAATTAAGAAAAAAATACCCAAAAATTCACCATTTTTATCTTCTTTTATTTATTTTTATTTAACAAAATCCATGTAATTAATACCAGCTTAAATTTGATAATCATTTGGGAAAATCCTTTTTAACAAATAATATTCTACAATTTAATCTGGTAATTCTTTCAAAACTTCATTAGCTAAAGCATATTAACTGCCTTAAAACTTATTAAACTCCACAAACTAAACGAGATCTCTTTAGGCTTTTCTTCCATAAGAATCCACCAATCCTTCATCTCCATCAAGTTCTTCCATTTTTTTGAACTCTTTTGAATCTCCAATTCCCACAATAATTATCGATATAGGCAAAAATGCGCAATCGACTATTAATTTTTTAGTCTCATTCATATCATGGATACACCCATCAGTTAAAATCAGCAGAACCTAATATTCCTAACTATTTGTTGACCTACTCATGCATTCTTAAATAACAGGAGCAAAGTATGTAGGCCCACTAAATTATAAAAAACCTACCTAATTAGCATAAATCCACATTATACCATCTAATCCAATCACGTAAGGCATTTATTTATTCCCATTAAGTGCAAAACAATGTTCTGTAGGGCCATATATTTCTCTCTAAGCCCCAAAACCATATACAGGTACTTATTTATCGTAATCATATTCAAGTAAGATGCTTGAAACCGATTAAAGTGCTTTTTAGTATTAGTTTAAAGATGTTTAGCTTATATAATGAAGACTTGATTAATATGAAGGATTCCCATTTGAACCTGTAAAATCTATTGCAATTTATAAATTTAATTATGTTCCAGATCTGAAATAATCTAAAAATATTGGAATTTATACAAGTTCAACTTTTTCGAACTAGATTTTACCTTTTAATTTATTATTTTTGTCTTTCAAATTAAATATTTATTAAATTTATTTAAGTTCTTTATAATTTTGGATTAATTCGTTTATACTTATTTCAATTTTTCCAATAAAATTATGGTTTCCAAAAAAACTGTAGTCCCATATTTCAAAAACAATAGGTATATAATAATTGCAATTACACAGTTTTTAACCTTTAATTCGCACTTTTAGATTCTTTAGTTGTTTTTTTTGACTTTCTGATTGGTAAACTAGTACTGAATCTCTTGAATTTTCCAGTTATCTATAAATACGTAAAAAAGGTGAAAAAAAGAAAATATTTTAAGGTAAATTTTCAGTAGAAATAAGCAAATTTAATACATCATTTCCTGCTGAAACTTATTCATATTTCAAAATTAAAAGACCATTTTTCGATTCGTTTTTTTCATTTAAGTTAACTTTCTTGTTTTGATCACTTAATTAAAGCTTTAACTATTTGTTATTTTAACGAATAAGATCTCCTAAAAAAAATTCCGTTTAACCTAAAAAATCTTTGCTTTTATTTACATCCTCATCATATATTTCGACCTTAAAGTATTGATATTCCTAAAATTTATAATCTATTATGAATGTATCTATAAAATTAGGATTTAAATTATTTTTGACTGTTTATGAACGCCATATTTCTATATATAAATCGTCTTCTTTTATATTAGAATCAACTTATTCGTTAGAGTAAAAATTTAGTTGCTATTTTTTTTATTTTAATATTATAAAAGGATCACTATAGGATAATATGTCCATATTTTTTAAATTGTTACATGAAAAAAATATCTCAATTTTTTAAGCTATTTCCATCTTTTTATTATTATTTCTTATTTTTATTTATATTTTTATTTTATATAAATATAATCTATATATAATAGGGTATCTATTATTAATTATTTATTGTTGCTTTATTTAATTTTTTAATATTTTTTTATTTATTTTTAATATTTTTTTTAATTAATACCGATACAACTATTATTTTAATACCAAAAATATTTAAAATATTATTTTAATGCATAAAATAATAAATATAATTATTCTTGAAACAATATATATATTTTTTTTATTTCATAAAAACAATAATTTTTTTTTTTTTTTTAATATTAATTATTTATATATTTAGAATTATATATATTAAATTTAAATACACTTAAATTTAATAAAAAAAAAAATCTTTGAATATTTTTAAATAATAATTTAAGTTTTTATTAATTATTATATTTTCTTAAATTATTTATATTGAAATCTTAATTTTAAAAAATTTAAGAATAAAACTAAAAATTCAAATGAGATATTATAAAGTTTAAATTTTTATAATTAAACCTTTATATAAATATAATTTTTATGTATTTTGTATATATAATAAAACTTCAATAAAATATATTTATTTATTAATGAAGTATTTAAAATTCAAATATAAATATAAATATAAATATAGACTATTAAAATAAAAATTAAAAAATATATAATTAAAGTTGTTGAAAAATTTATATATTTTATAAATTATTTATATTTATTAAAAAAATTACATTTTTATATAAATATAAAATATGTCATTAAAAAACTTTATTATTTCACAAAAATTGGGTTTATATTTATTATAAAATGTCATATATTTTTAAAAATTATAAATAAAATATAAAGGCGAAGGTGCCTATAGCTCAGTATACAAAGTTAAAAGATTATTAGATAATTAAGAATATGCTTTAAAAAAAGTTAAGTTAATTAATTTATCTGAAAAAGAAAAAGAAAACGCTTTAAATGAAGTCCGAATACTTGCTTCAATTCATCATGTCAATATAATAGGCTATAAAGAGGCATTTTTTGATGAATAATCCAACTCTTTATGGTAAATATTTATAAAAGTATAATAAAAATATTATTAAAAAATAAATAAAGTATTATTATGGAATATGCTAATAACGGTGATTTATACTAAAAAATATTAGAGCATTAAAAAAAAAATACTCAATTTTCAGAAAAAGAAATATGGCAAATATTCACTTAAGTATTTTAAATATAATTTTTTTTTTTTATTATTATTATTGTTTTTAAATAAGGTAGTAAAAGGTTTAAATACATTACATAAATTAAAAATTTTTCATAGAGATTTAAAGGTAAAATAATAAAAAAGCTAAAATATCATAACAAAAAAAAGAGTGCAAACGTATTTCTAACAAAAGAAGGAGTTGTGAAATTAGGAGATATGAATGTTTCTAAAGTAGCCAAAAAAGGTCTGTTATTTACCTAAACTGGAACTCCTTATTACGCAAGGTATTTAAATTTATATTTTACTAAAAATATTTAATAATAAAAAAAGCCCTGAAGTATGGAAAGATAAATCTTATGATACTAAATCAGATATTTGGTCTTTAGGTTGTGTATTTTATGAAATTACTACTTTAAAACCGCCTTTTAGAGCAGAAGATATGGAAGGACTTTACAAAAAAGTAATTAAAGGTCATTATCCTAAAATATCTTCTAATTATTCATTAGATTTAGCACATATAATAAGGTCATTATTACAGGTTTAATCTAATTTAAGACCTTCTTGTGATGAAATACTTTAAAATTAAATTGTTATGAAACATATGGATTAAAATTAAATAGCTCCTGAATATGAAGAAGGACCCAATAATCTTTTAAATACTATCCGAATTCCAAAAAACATCCAAAAATTAATAGAAAGACTACCCAAATCAAATTACTGTGCACATTCAAGTGAATAAAGTTTATAAAAAAACCTTATTTTGCCTAAATTAAACTTAAGAAATGAAAAAAATGATGAAAACAATAGTTTATCTAATGCTGCAATTAATGAGAAAGCTATTAATAATATTAATAATTTATTGAAGAAAAAATATAGATATGGAAGTATATAAAGTTAATAAAATAATAAAGATGAATCATAATTATATCCTAACATTGTTCTATAAAAATAATCTTAGCCCTAATTGCTAGATGATTTATATAAACTACCTAATATATTATCCTCTAAATTGTAAAAAGTTTAAGCTTTGTCTAGTAAAAATTAAGAAAATATTAAATAAATTGAAAAGCTTTATAATTATAATCCACCCAAAGATAAATATGGAAATATAAGATCTTCTAAAAATAAAAGTGTCTTGTATAATAATAAAAGCTTAATAAATAATATAAAAAATTTAGATAGCAATTTATACAGATGATTTATTTTAAATTAAATATACTTATTATAATTTTTTATTTATGAATTTTTATTTTTAGCTTTCATATATATTTTTTATTTTTTTTAAGTTTTTTATTTTATGGTTAATATGATTATATTAAATACACTATTTATTATATAATTTATATTTAATATATTTTATTTTTTGATTTTACTAATCTTTTATTAAATAATATGATATAAATTTATTTATGTTTTTAAAAATTTATTGAAAATGAAAAAATAAAAATAAAATAAAAAAAGCTTTTTTTCACTTTTTTTTTGTTTTAGTGGAAAAAATGTATCCAAACATTAAAATAATGATTAAAATTTTGATAGTAAATAAAAATAAGATGATATTTAAATAAAAAGGAAAAAATCAAATTCTTTCTAAGAGAAAAATGATTAATTCCCGCCAACATCATCTAAAAGAAAATATAGTTTATAAAAACAAAATCCTTAAATCATATATAAATATGAAAACAGATGTTTTAAAATATTATCTAAATATCAAATTTAAGATATTGATGTAAAAATAATATTTTAACTATATGTATTAAAAAAAATTATTACTGCTTTTTTTTTTAATTTTTTAAGGTAGTAGACAAAATAGAAGATAATGAACTTAAACTTTATTTTTAATATGAATGCCCTATATGCTTTAGATATTTTAATAGTATTTAAAAAAAATATTTTTTTAAATTTATAATTTAAACTTATGTTTATATATAGAAATTTTAAAAACTGAATGCTGCTAAAATTACTTATGTTTCTATTGTCTTAAAGAAATAAGAAGAAGTATTAAATAATTAAATTTATAGTTTTTTATTTTATTTTAGAAACTATTAAAGATAATAATTTTTAATTTAGTTGTATGTTTTGTTAAAAAAAATAGCCTATTTATTCAGATGTAGAAGATTCAACTAAAAAAAAAAGGTATAATAAAATAAAAATATTAATATATATATTAATTTATATATTTTATATTAATATATTTTAGTTATTTTGATTCTTCTTAAGTTTTAAACTAATAAAAAAATACTTAAATTATTTAAAATTTACCATAAAATATGAAATAAGATAGTGTTATTCATGAATATAATGAAGAAACTTAAACAAAAAAAATTCCTTATTTTTTAAATAATAATTAAAATATCATTAATTATTAAAATCATAAAATAAATCAAACAAAATGATATTATATGATTTAATGTTTATATTTAATCTTAAAAAATATATACTTTTTTAAAATAGAATTTTACAAAAAATTTTGGAAAATTTATAAATAAAATTACTGAATTTATAAAATATTGATAATGAAATTTTTTTTTTCTTGAAAAAATATATATTAGAATTATATATTTAAAAATTAATAAGTATTTTATTCGAATAAAATAATATTTTAATTGATTTTTAATCATATTATATAATCCTAACAAAGATTTAAAACTTTAAATAATTTTGAAAATATGACTAATGTCTTTTATATTTTTTTATTAAATTAATTAAATGAAAATTAAAAATAATAAAGTATAAAAAGAATCAAATATTGAAAATAAATAAAATAACTTTTTAAATATATTTATTTTAAAAATTACAATAAATAAATAATAAATAAAATTTAAAATATAAATTAAAAATTAAAATAAGAATGAATTAAGCTGCATAAGGGAAAATAGAATTCGAATAACGTTCTTAAAACAGATGTTGGAAAATTTTATTTTTGAAAAAATGGCATCCTTAACCAACAGTATAAGGTACAAAGTATTTATTCTTATTAGTATCACTACTATTTATTGGATTCGGTATCGCAATTGTCATAATAAATTCCAAAATTCAAGAGCATATAATATCAGATTACGAAAAGGACTGTAAAGAAAATGACTGTACAATCAGATTTAAATTGCCGGAAAAATTCAAACAACCAATATTTGTATTTTATTCCTTAGATAATTTTTACTAAAATCATAGAAGATATATAAAATCAAAATCTTCAAATTAACTTTCTGGAAAGGATTTGTCTTTAAGTGAAGCAGTAAAATATTGTAGTCCAATAGTAAGAAATAGTGATATTGGGCTCTAAAAATCTATTGAAAACGGTGTAAATTTAGATTAAGATGCTGTAGCTAACCCTTGCGGACTTATCGCTAAGAGCTTTTTTAATGATACTTATTTACTTTTTAATAGTGATAATATATAAGTCCCTATTAATGAAAATGGAATTGCTTGGCCAGATGATAAAGGAAATAAATTCAAAAAAAATAAAAATCCAGCAGTTCATTGGATAGATCCTACAAATGAGCACTTTATTGTTTGGATGAGAACTAGTGGTTTGCCTAACTTCAGAAAACTTTGGGGAAGAATAGAATAAGATTTGGAAGCTGGAGAATATTCATTTGCAATTTAAAATAATTATCCTGTTAATGATTTTGGTGGTCATAAAGGAATTGTTCTTTCAAATAGTGGACCTTTTGGAGGTAAAAACTATTTTTTAGCTTATGCATTTATTGCTGTTGGTATTATCTCTTTTTTAATTGCAGCAGCTTTTTGGATTAAATAAAAAACTACTGGCGATAAATTTGGAAGTAATAGGCATCATTAAGATTGATTAAATATATAACTGCTTTTTTTAAGAAATATTATTTATTTCCAAATATATTTAACTTTTATTAATAAAAATTTAAATATTTTTTTTAATTAAAAATAAAAAATTATTAAATAAAAATTATATTTAATTATTTTATTTGAAAATAAAATTATTGATTTTATTTTTAATTTTCTTTAAAAAATATATGATTAATTAAAGGAATTTTAGTGTATAAACTAAATTTAATTTTAAATATTTTTAAAAATAATAATTAATTTTGATTATTAGAATTCTTAAATAGCGAAAATTCATACAAAAATAAAAATGTTTGAAATACATTTTTAAATTTATAATTACTTTTATTAATTAAATAAAAAAACTAATTTATTTAAATAAATCAAACAAACTTTTTGTTAAGAATATAATATATTTTATATTTTTTAAAATAATAAAAAATAGAAAATAAAATAAAAAAAATTGTGATAAAAGTAAAAAAATAGGCTTCGAAAAAGCTCATTTTAATACTTAATTCTTTTAATTCAGAGTTTTTTTAAAATATTTCACAAATTTAAGTTTCTTTTTTTTCTTAAGTTTATTCAATTAAACTTTAAGCTTAAAAATAAGACTAAATTTATATTAAATCTGAAAAAAGTTCTCTTTTTTTTAACAAATCTTTCCATTTTACTTTAAAATTCATAAAATCTTAAAAAGATAAATTTTTACTTAAATTTTACTATAATTATTCCGAAAAACTGGTACAAATTTTTATTTTATCTCTTAATTTTTCCATCAAAAATACATATTTTTTTAATAAAACTTTTTCTTCTTCGTTAAATACTTCCTAAATGTAATTTGAAGCTATTATTTCATTCAAATAATGTTCATTATTATTTACAAATTCATTACTTAATATTAAATAATGCATATTTTTTAGTTTTTTCAGTTTGAGTTCATTATTTTTCTATTGTTCTTAAATTATAAAAACAAATATGGGATTTGTATATTAATATATTTTTTATTTATTAATTAAATAAGATTCTAAATTTGTAAAAATTTCACTTTATTTATAAAACGAATCTTAATAAATGCTTTAAAAATAATAATTATAAAGAAATTAGTATTTATTTTTAGAGCTCGTATCTATTATTTATAATTTTTTTTCCTTTTTAATATCATAAGAAATAGTTGTGGGTTTTTTATTCAAATCTACAAACGTATTTTAAAAATATTCTGAATAATTATATTTGTTTCCCATTAGAATTTCATATTGAGGTGTATAATATATTTCTGTTTGAAAATTATTTTTTATAAAATTTAAATTTCGTTCTTCTGTTAAATTTATATATATAAATTTAATAAATTTTTGTAATTTTAATGTTTCTAAGTCTTAATATAATTGATTTATGTTATTATAGTTTATTTCTTCTTAGGATAATATAAAATTAATATATAAAAATTTTAATAGAATAGTTAAATGCTTTAATTTAATCATTTTTTTTCTTAAAAATAATGTTTTTTTAATAAATATAATAATAGAAAAAATTATTTAAAATTTATTATGTTTTTACTAAAATATTTTATTAAAAACTATTTTCATTTATAATATATTATTATATTTTGCATTTTTTGTAATAAAATAAGTTTAATGGCAAATAAATAATAAAAAAATATAATTAAATTTATTAAAATAGTTTATAAATGAAAAAAATGCCTAAATATAATTTATTTTAAAATTAACTATGAAAATGAAAATTGTTATAAATTAATTATAAATATAATTATCATTCATCATCTATTCCCAATTTAATAGAAAATTCAATAAAAGAATCACTTTTAGGAATTAAATTAGGATCTTAAATAATAAAATTTTTTTAGAACATTTATTATTTAAACAACCCTTATTTAAGATTCATGTTTTCGAAAATATTAAAATAATACCAAAGGAAAGGTTTACTAATATCTTCTAAATAAAGAATCACTACTAAAAAGTACTAATCAGGTTTTTTACTTTAGTCATTTTTTAATTTCTACACATCTAATTAAATATTATATTATTCATTAAATTCTAACTAATCTTTTACATTATTAACAATATTACCACTAAAAGAAATTTTCTCACCCTAATCATCGGAAATAATTTCACCTTAATAGCAAATTTAGATAAGTAGTCGGGCTTTTTTTTAAGTTTTAAAATTAGTTATTCGGAAAAAGGATATCGAAAAGTAATTATTTTATTTTTTTTCTAGTATATTTTAGAATACTTCATCTAATGAATTAATCTCATATTCAAATTTTATAAGATGTTTTTTTAGTCTTCTTATTTCTATAGGAAACGCTTTGTCTTCAATGGGCATTTTGTATATATTGTCATTAAACTTTCCAATATTTAATTCTTAATTTATAAATAGTTAATGAGGATACCATGCAAAATCTTCTGTATATTATGCTTGATCTTACTTATATAAAATAAATTTAAAAATTATATATATCTCTTATAATTTTTTCCTGTATATGTCTTATAATTTTTCAATATTTAGTTTTATTTCCATGTTTTTATTAAAGAATACCTTCTTTTCTTTTGTAATTAATTCAAATAATTCATCACATTAATAAATTATTTATATTCCTTAATTATCATTAATAAATTCCTTTCCTACAATAATACTAAATCCAAATTTAATGAAGAATTTTTCCCTATAATTGGTTAGTTGAATCATATTAATTTATAATCCTTAATTATTATTGTATGTTTTAGTTTATAAGGCTTCTTTATTAATAAAATCTATGTTAAAATCGAGTTCTTATCTAAGTTCTGTTTCTTTTCCATTTTTATCTATTTTTATTAAATTTTATTTCCTACGTCCTGTCAAATATTTGTTTGAATCTTATTAAAATATAGGTATTTTACTAATACCTATTATTTCATTTTTTCCTTTTACTTTTATTGTTACCTATTTTAATTTTCATATTTTTTTTTATTTTTTTTATTTTCTTAATACCAATATAAATCCTTTAGAATATGTTTCTTCATTAAACTTCTAAAATAAATATTTCTAACCCAAATTATAATATTATTCACAATCTAATTTCCAAACTAAAGGTTATTTTTCAATTACTTATATTTCATTTTATTCTATACATTTGTGATTATTTTCGTCTGTTAATATTTCATTATCTTTAAAGATTTCAATCTTTTAATTTATATAAAATAAGCATTGATTATATTTTAAAATACCTTATATTCTAAATCGTTTTTAACAGTAGAATATTTTGTTAATTCATAAAATTCTATAACTAACTTTTTTTAATCATTCAAAAATTATTCTTCATTAGTATCTTTAAGTTTTATTTATATTTTATCATCAATGTTTTAATCTTCTGAAATTTATTAAGTTACAATGTTTGTTTATAATCTATTTTAATTTGCCTCTATTTTGTCTCCACCTTAAAAATTAATTTCCTATTATTTAATGTTTTTTAATTTAAATATATAAATAAATATACATAAGTAATTTTAATATCAGTCTTTTCTTTTTTTTCTAAAAATGGAGGTTTTTAAGCTGGTTTTTTATACAAATTAATAGTATGAATACCAGAATTGACAACGATTTTGTCATTTCCAGATATTTTAAAAATAGGAGGTATGATCCATCCAATAAGATCATCAGATCCATTAGTATTAACTAAGATACTATAAAAAAAGCAGACTTTTTCAATATCTTTTTTATTTATTCGAGTTGCTAAATCTTTCCAATCTACGTCAAATTCTTTTTCATAATTAATTATATGTTCTCCATTTATTATACTACCTATTTCTATATTTTATTATCCAGCTGCAGGTATACGTTAATTTCGAGTATAGATAACTTCATCCCTTTTAAGTAAACCTCCTCTAATTTATAATCTTTAATTTTATTCTTTATAATTGATTAACTTGTGGATTTTGAATTTTAAAAATTATTATTATTATTATTATTATTGTTATTATTAACGTTAATTATCAGAATCAGCAGAATCAAAAGAATTATTTACTGATTATATTACATTTAATTTAGTTAAAGAGTTATTTTGTGATAATTGGTTTCCTTTTAAATTTTTTAATGTACTTAGTGTATTTACTGTTTATACTTTATTTCTATTTTTTTTTATTTTTATTTTAAATAATTTTTTTACGTTGATCTTTACAATTTGTTTTAATTATTTTTATCAATATTCGTATTAATACTTGAAGAAGAATTAATTAAGAGTTATGGTTTTGATTAAGTATTATCGTTATTAGCATTATTGAAAGAATCATTAGAATTGTAGGAAACTCCTTTTCCATCATTATTTTTTTTTTATATGTTTATTAAATTATTTAAACCATCAAAAGGTAATTAAGTTGATTAATCGCCATATTCATTATTTTAACTTTAAAAGTTATTATTACTTTTAACAAAATTTTTATTTCCTTTTTATTATAATATATCTATTGCCATTTAATCTTATAGTTATTATTATTATTATTATTATTGTTGTTAAAGCATAATTATAGCTTCATTACTTAATTTATTTTCCATAAGGTTTATTACTTTTTTCTAACGTAAATGGCATGGTGGAATTTTGTATTCATTTTACAATAAAACTGCACTATCAACATCTAAATAAGGATCTAAAGGTAAACATACGCGTATAAATAAAGCACTGTTAGATAAATAAGGTAATCCATCTTAAAAAAGAAGATTCGGATCATATTCTTTTGAATAAAAAGGTAGTCTATATTTTCCTGGTAGTAACTAGCCATTGTAATCAAATATTTCATGTAATGTCCATCCAAATACCTATGGCTTTCCATTTATACCTAAAATCTATTTATTATTTGATTTATTTATTTTTTATATTTTTTACTTCTTATGAAAATCCCCAAAATTCGCAATATAAAACCGTATCAGGAAACGGCTAAAAATCTCTCATAATTTCTTTTTGCATAAAAATACATTTATTTGAACGATAAGATTCTTACTCAGTTGGAAAATTCCCTGTATCTCTATATGTATAAAAGTTGTCGCCTTTCCTAAATATTCCAAAGTTAATTTGCATTTTCTAAAAGTTAATTGGTATGCATCCTATCCAATCCCATCTTAACATAAAACCTTCATTTGGTTAATATGAATTTGAATGTCTTTGTAAATGACTTAAATCCATTGACCCTTCAGCTGTTTAATTATATATAATAGATGTTGGATTCTTTTAAATGCATTATAATTTTTTTAAAAAATATATATTTTTACTGAAACTCCTTAAAATTTTAAAGCATTTTTTACTTTTTTATCTAACAAAGATTTTTCTATTCCATGTTTTACTTATTAAACTTGCATATATTAATTATGTTTAAATGCATATTCTGCTGAATTTACATTTAAACGACTCATATTTAAAACCAATTCTGATTCTTAATTTCTTATATAATTAAGAATTTATTCATCGTTATTTTCTTCTGCCTCTATTAGCTTATTTCCTACTCTTTTTTGCTGATCAATATCTATTACAGGCATTAAAGGCTAAGAATATTATAAAGATTATTTTAATTATCTGTTTTCAGTTTCAATTACCATTAATTATTTTTTTAGAGACTCTGGTAAATAATCATAAACAGGGTGAACGCTTATCGACTCTTTTTCATCTTCTAATGGTATTAATTGCGAATTAATTTATTATTAAGCTAATACTTTTGGGTTGTTTTAACTATTTATTTATGGAGAATATTATTGATTTTAATATTATAATTGACTATAATTTTGTAAGTTATTTTAACGATAAAGATTTTAATTATTGTACTGGTTTTGAGGATTAATGTCTGAATTCTTTTTTTTTTTTTTCTACATATATTTTTTTTTTATTACATAAATAAATCCTAAAGGATTATCATTTTATATTGGAATGCCTTTGGATTATTTAATTAAATTTGTATTATTATAATTGAATCTATTATTTTTATAAAAATTTTCTAAATTTTATAAATTCAGTAAAAATTCTGGATCTGTTCCGCCTGCTTTAATGTAATCTTTTCTTAAATTTTCTACGTCTCGTAAAGTGTCTTAGTATTATTAAATTGCTTCTGGAGTTTCTTCAAAAAATTATATTTACACTTTAGACATATTTAAACCCTTTTCAGCTTTTTATATTTTAATTAATTTAAAAACTTTATATATATACCTCCATATTTTTCTACATTTTCTCTAATTAATTTCAATTTTTCATATTTTTCTTGATTAGATTGTGCGTATTTATTAGTCTTCATTAAGTATTTTATTTCTTTACCTAAATTAACTTAGACATTTCCTTTTATAAAAATATTATTTTATTAATTTTTTTTAAAATAATAAAGTAAATACCAAATGCTTCTTCAGGTTCTATGGGTAAATGATTTCTCGTATAAAAATACATATTGTCTTTCTTTTTTATTCAATAATTACATATTAATTAATGCTTTATAAAGTTACTTTCATTTATTCAATTCTTTTAGAATCTTCTTATAATTTATCATAAACTTTTCCTAAATCATAGTCAGCAGCAAAATATGAAGGGACGCCTCCAAGTCCAATAAGTGAATTTTAGGCTGTTAAGAAAAAAGGTTAAGGTTTATAAGAATATCCAGATTTAATTTTATCAAATTAATCGAGAAAATCATTTTTATCTTTTTCGATTTAATCATATATTAATTTTAATTGATTGATTTTTTATTTTTTATTTTTTTAAAAATCATCATTAATTATTCCTTTTTCTAACCTATTTCTTTCATTTAAAGCATAATAATCTTAAAATGCTTAAAGTTAATCTAAAAAAATATTCTCTTTATCTCTTATTTAAGATCTTTTTGTGCGTAAAGATTCCAATGCAAACTTTTTATCAATATCTGTTGAGACTCTATTTTTTAAATTTTTTATTTTTTATTTTATTTTAAATACAATATTTTTTTTGGATGGATCTAAATTTGAAATGGCTATATCTATCATATTCATATCTTAATTATATTATGCTTTTCGTTATTTCGCATATTATAATTATTTTAATAATTTTTAATATTCTATGTCCTCTTCAGTTAGCTTGATGTCTTGCTCTTTTTTTAATTCAAATATTTCTTGTACCTTTTAGGCGTTTGTCGGGACATATTTTTAACGTAAATTTTCAAACTCTTTATCATTTTATCTTAAATGTGTTAATATATCTCTATTTTCAAAGGAAGAACCAGCGTACGATGGTTTATTAATTAAAATATTTCCTGTTTATTTTTAAAGTTTTACTTAATTTTTAATTGAATTATTTTTTACTGCTTTCAGTTTTATTTATTTCTTATAAAAAACTTTAAGTTAATATTTAATTAGGAATCATATTTAATTTGTATTTATTACTATTCTATAACTTATTTATTATAAATATTAATTTAATATATATATTTACATTTTTTTAATATATTTAAAAATAGTTAAAAAAAATATGTATTATGACTGAATTTTATTATATTTTAAATAATATAACTATAATTCAAAATATTTTGCTTTTAGTTAAAATAATTAAATTAAACTTGTTCCAAATAATAAATTAATAGTTTTTAAAAGTTCAAATTCTTTTCGTTTTAATTGCATTTCATCAGATTAAATTTTTATTTTAATTGTAGATTTTATATTAATTTATAAAGAATAAAATTGATTTTTTATCATTATTTGGCTATTTTTTATTTAATATATTGATGAAAATATAAAAGAGAAAGAAAATCAATTAAATTTATTAATAATTATGATTTTCTAAAGAAATTATTGTTTAAACATTTTAATATAAATAAATATCATGATATTATTAAAAATATTAAAACTATTATTTATAATTTATACACAAAACATCTGCTATTAATTAATTGTGTATTATTTATTTAATTAAAGGAATAAAAAACCCAATAATTTGTTTTTGATTTAGTATCAATAGATTTGATAAATTTTATTTTTCAAATTTAACAAAAAAAGTTATTTACGAAATTTTTTTTTTTTTTAAATTCATCTATAGATTAAACTAATACAAAAATTAAAATTTATAAATTTTCTAATATTTAATAAAATAAATTTTAACAAATATTAATAAAATCTATATATATAATAAAATAAAAAGAAAGAAATTATAAAAAAACTATAATAAAGTAAATATGATTAACAGCTTAAATTTAACAAATTCATCTCTTGGAAAGAATGAAAACGTTTTAAACAATAGAATATTAATTTGCCCGAGCATTTTATTTAAAAATTAAAGTGACACTCATTTAGAAAATAAATTTGAGTCATATTATTAAAATTTTATGAAATAAAATCTCAAAACTTAAAAAATATAAGAATTATTAAATGAATAATCGGATTAAAGCATACAAAAAAATTTTGAAATATTAAAAATTTTAATTAATGATTTTTAAGCAAATAACAGTCGAGAGTTAGTTCATAATAAATTAATGGTAGAAATAATCCAATAATAATTTAAAAATATCAAAAGAATTCCCAAAATAAATTATATTTAAACCCTTTCTGATTTCAAAATTTTTTTTGAAGAAAATCTTTTAATTTTAAATAAATACTTTTAATAAATTTCCTGTTTTGCATAAAGTATAAATTCTAACGAAATTGAAGCGCCTTAAAATTCTTCAGAATAAATACTACTAGAAATAAATAAAAAATTACAAAATTAAGTATAATTATTAAATAATTAACTTGAAAATAACCAAAAGCATTTTTTATCATAACTTCAAGTTCATTAAAAAGAATTAGATTTCTAAAAATAAGATTAATAGAAACATATAGATGATAAAAATTAGCAAATGCAACTTCTTTTGACAAATAATTAGTAATAAATTGAATTTTAAATACAGAAAATTAAACATTTAGAATATTAAAACAAGTTAATGAATTAATAATAAAAAAATATACTTAACCAAGGTGAGGAAAGAGAAAAAACTCTATAAATTGAAGTTAACTAATTAAGAGAAATGGTTAATCATATAGAATAAAAATATTTTTTAGGGTAAAAAAGCGAAGATATTCCTAAATTATAATTGAGTGTATTTAATATAAAAATAGATGCTTTAAATAAGTATTTAGAAGGGATTTAAACACAATTAAATAGTAAAGTATTTGAAATCAAAATAAATGCACTAAGAGATTTTGTAAAATAACAAGGAAAAAGTTAAGAAAATAAAGATGATTATAAAATTGAAGAAATAATAAAAGAAATATAATTAGATTTAGAAAACAAACTTTTTTAAAAAGAAAAAAATTTATTAAGAACTCAAAGTGCTTTTTAATTAAAAAAAGGTGAAGAAATTCTTGAAAAAATAAAAGGAATTGAAAAAAAACTCTAAAAAGGACAAAAAATAAAAGCTTTGGAGGAAAAAATTTAAAATTTGGAAGATTTAATTGTATAAATTTCTGATTTAGAAAAAATTAAAGAAATATTAAATACTATTTTATAAGAAATAAATTAACTCAAATAGAAAGACTAAGATAAATTTACTTTTCATAAAGAAATCTTAAATATAGAAAACCAAAAAATTGTAGAAGAAAACGAATTTGTTATAAAGGACTTACAATTTTAGTTGGCTTAAGCAAAAGAGTTAGCTTTATACTAAGAAAAAGCAATTACAAAACTTTAGGATGAGAATTAAAATCTTCAAAAAAGAATAGATGAGTTAGTTGGACTTGTAAATAGTAAAGGATAATAATATAGTAATTAAATAAGCTAGATAAATTTACAATTCATAAAAGCAAACAAATATATTCATTAATTTAAATAAGGTAAACTTTAATTTAATGAATAAAAATAAATAAAAAAGTAAATATAAGAATTCTTTGAAAAAATAAATAAAAAGGTGTCACAAATATTAGTTGTAAAAGAAAAAATTCTCGAAAAATTATAAGCAGCAAATATCCACGAAGAGTTATTAAGTTCAAGCTAGGTTTCAAAAGAAAAAATTCATTTAGAAAATAATATTAATTAGTTTTAAAAATAAATATAATTTTTAGATAAAAAGCTAAATGAAAATAAGTTCGGATTTAAGGATGTGCTTTCTAAAATTGATTAAGTTTTATAAAATTGTTAGAAATAAAATAATTTATTGAACTCTAATTAATAAGAAATTTTAAAATCTTATTAAACTTATGCATGAAAAAAAATCTTTTAT